CAAGGGGAAGGGTGGGAAGAAGGGCCTGAGAGTGAGTGGGTGCCCTGGGGAGGACTTTGGGAGAATAAGTGTACTTCAAATAACTATTATGGTGATGCAAAGGGTTGCCAGGGTATGGGACTCGTGGAAGCTGCGAAGTTGGGGTAGGGCTTCAGGGACTTCTGACAGCAGATGTCCTAAAATCTGTCTGAGCATCACCTGGGGCTGTTAGTAGAAAAGCAGCCAAAGGCAACACGTGAAGAGGACTTTCCAGTAAAATTTTATTTACAGAAGCAAGTAGTGGACTGGATTTGGCCAGCAGGGGGTGTTTAGCAACCTCTTTATTGAGGGCTAGACATAAAATGCAAGCTATATATCCTTTCTTCCATGCTTTGGTTTTTAACGCTCTCACTATTCAGTTACTCATTTTTTCTCCTTGGTGAAGAGGATGAAGCCCAAGACTTGTTTATGTTAGGCAAATGTCAGTAACTAATTTGTTTTATTATTATTATTATTATTATTATTATCATCATCATCATCATCATCATCATCATCATCATCATCATCATTATTAGAGTGTGTGTATGTGTGTGTGTGTGAATGTATGTCAGGTGTGGGTGTGGAGCTCACATGACAACTTTTGGAGGTTGGCTCTCCTCCTGCGATGGGTCCTGAGGATATAACTCAGATTGTCATCATGTATGTGTGCCATGGACACTTTTACCTTCCATAAGCTAGTATCTTGCTGGTCCAGTTACTCATTTCTTTAGTTGTATGTTTTATTAAAAAATTTAAAATTGAGATTCAAAAATAGTATGATCCGTTGGCGTTAACAAAGATTGCACACAGAATCTTTGCTGCTCAAGTGTCCTATATCAGTAGGTGGAATTTGTAGATGATATCTCCTGATGATGCAGGGCGCTAACACATGTAGATGATACGCAGACAGCTGTTATTCTGCAGTGGTTCTCAACCTTCTTAATGCTGTGGCCCTTTAAAACAGCTCCTCCATCTCTCCAGCCCCTCCTGGTATTTTTAATCCACGGTTGCTTGTGTCTGTGGACACAGAATTCAAACATGCCAAGTTTTGTGCGACACTTTTTTGGGGGAGACAAAACTCACAAGTTTGTCACCCCATGACAGACCAAAGTCAAGATTGCACCAATTTGGTGAAGCAATGAGTTTTTGGCAGTCTTTCTAATTGGCATATGGGTGAGGGGTTCCTTCCAGACCACCAGAAAAGCCTGTCCCAGCACTAGTGACAGCCATTCAAAGCTGTGTTCCCCAAGGAGCTCTCTGCAATTTGCAAGCAGCTCACCAGGTCTGGGAATCTCCTTTGGGCAGTTTGGCAGGTCAGAGTCTCCTCCACTAGCAGTTATCTAATGCTTTCTTAAAGGCAAGGAAGGGCCTTTTCGAATCTCGTAAGCTTCTCACACATGTGAAGTTTGTTTACTTCCTGAATTTCATGAACCTTCTGGCTCCCTACTGGAGTGAATCTTCCAATTTAGAAGAAGCTGTTATACAACAGGAGGATACACTGTATGTTTTTATGGGGCGTTGAAATATATATACATACAGATATTTATATATAATATATATTAAATAATACATAAAATATATGTGAAAATGCATGTTTATATATTTTACACACATAATTTATTATATGTAATATGTATTTATACATAAACATAAGATGTATAGATATATATGAAATACATATACATGGTGAAATGGCCAAATCATGCCAATTAGACAAGCAGACACACACACACACACACACACACACACACACACACACACACACACGTAAATTACTCTTATAGCCCAGCAAGTTCACAGTTGGATATGTAACCAAGGAAATGAATTAAGTAACTCAAAGAAATACAAGTTGAAAGCCCCCCCCCCAAAAAAATAAAATCCAAATCTGTGACAGACAAGAAGGCTCAGGGGGTATAGGTGCTTTCAGCCAAAGCTGATAAACTTAGTTTGATCCCAGGCCCCACACTGTAGAAGTGGAGAGTTGAGTCTGCAACTCATCCTAGGACCTCCACATGTGCACAACAGCATACACCCATGTCTATTCATAACCACAGACAGAAAGTAAATAAATAAAATGTAATGAATAAAGTGTGTTTGTGTGTGTGTGTGTGTGTGTGTGTGTGTGTGTGTGTGCGCGCGCGTGCGCGCTCTCGCATGCGTGCATGCATGAATACTCATGCAAACACCAAGGATGGAGCATAGGGCCTCACATGCCTAGCTCCCCGTTTTTATTTTTGCAACACGTCCATTCTTAGGGATTTTATTTATTTTTTTACGGTGGAGTTAACCACCATGCTGAATCTGGTCCCAATTTCTCTGCATTTCAGTTTAAGACACAGTACAGCACACGAGTGGTAACCAGGACGATTGTAAGGACAGAAAATGGGTCAGAGCTGGGAGCCTCCATGTCTCCCCCATCTTCAGTAGAGAATGAAACCAGCATCCTGGAAAATGTCACTCGGGCCTTGGGCACCCTGCAGGAGGTGATAAGCTTTGAGGAGACTGTGCCTGTGCCTGGCTCAGCCAATGGCATCAATGCCTTGGGTCTAGTGGTCTTCTCCGTGGCCTTTGGGCTGGTCATTGGTGGCATGAAGCACAAAGGGCGAGTCCTGAGGGACTTCTTCGACAGTCTTAATGAGGCTATTATGAGGCTGGTGGGCATTATTATCTGGTGAGTGGTGGGTGCGCGTCTGTCCCTGGGGGGCTGGTGATGGTTCTGGGGGTGGGCGCCTGTGCCTGGGGGGCTGGTGATGGTTCTGGGGGTGGGCGCCTGTGCCTGGGGTCTGGTGATGGTTCTGGGGGTGGGCGCCTGGCCTGGGGGGCTGGTGATGGCTCCTGGTGGGTGCACGCCTGTGCCTGGGGGCTGGTGATGGTTCTGGGGGTGTGCGCCTGTGCCTGGGGGCTGGCGATGGTTCCTGGTGGGTGGGTGCCTGTGCTTGGGTGGCTGGTGATGGTTCCTGGGGGTGAGGTCCATGGGGCAGATGGGTCTATTGGAGACATTTGGCCAGATTCATTCATCTGTGATTAGTTAATTAAGTCATTAACTCATCTATCCATTCATAATTGAGATCCGTTCATCTATGGCCATTCTTCTACATACTAAGTCACCCCCTCATTTTTATGTAATAAAAATGTGTTCTTAGAGAATTTCCCATGTCTACAAGTGTTTTGATAATATCCACACTCCCTCCAACTTTTCTCAGACTCTCATGTCCCATTCCAAACTTTATATCCCCATATGTACTCATTCATATATATCTTCTGTTGATCCCAGTTAGAGCTGTATATATGAACATGGATGAGGGCACATCCACTGATCTTGGGCAACTACAAGATGCCACATCTATGCAGAAAATTGAGTTTCCCTTCCTCAGCAGCCATTAACTGTCAAAAACAGTTTCTCAGCTAGGGTAAGGCTTGTGAGTCCTGCCCCATTCCATGTTGGAATGTTGATTGGCTTGACCTTGTGTCAATCTTGTGCAGATGACTACAGTTGCTATGAGTTCATTGCATTGTTTTTGAGACAGGTCTTTCTAAATACTCCAGGATTGTCTGGACCCTGCCAGCTTTTTTATCAGCCTACTGAAAAGTGAGATTTCAGTCACGCACCATCTCATTTCTGCACTGGTTAGTTCACTGTCAACTCATTAATTCACATCCTCATTCTTTTCTGCAATGATTTTTAGTGACTCATTCATTCATTCATTCACTCATTTGCTCATTTATTTCTTTTGTGCACTCATTTATTCTTATTTTTTCTAGCATTGGCTTACTTACTTATCTTCTGGGTAAGGATTCAGGCATTAAGCTGGCCTGCCCCTGTCACCTGGCAGAATGCACCCAGGCAGTGCCCTGGTCAGCCCAGGTGCAAAGGACCCTTTTAAAAGAAAGACCTCTGTCCACTTGCTCTCTCTTTCACCACTCTTTCCCGCCTTTTTCTCTCTTATCTTTCCTACTGTTCCCCTGGGGTAGACAGGACTTTTCCTGTCTCCCTCTTCTCTTCTGTCCTCTCTCTGTCTCTCTGCCACTTTACCTCTTTTCTTTTTCCTTCCCTCTTTCCCTTTCTAATAAAACTTCTCACTTAAGCTCTATCTGCCTGGCTTGTTTGTCCAAGTTGTCCCCTCCCTTCCTCCCGCCTGGGTCACCCTCGCCTGTCATGGAATTCGCCACCGTTCACCAATTGCTTTATCCTAACAGTTTGTTAATCTGTTCTTCTATTTATCAGTTAAATCACTTATTCATCTAGCTATTCACTGATAAATCTGTTCAGTAGTTAAATTATTTCACAATTATTATTACTTTATTGCATCTATCACCTATCTCTCTATCTCTCTATCTATCTAGTCTGAATATATGTGTATGGGTATGCATGCCAGAGCATACATGAGGAGATAGAGATAAGAGGAGAAAATTGTGGGAGTTAGTTCTTTCCTCCTACCATGTGGATTTCAGGATCCACCTCAGGCCATCAGGCTTGGCAGAACACGTGAGGCCATCCTTTTTGGCTATTTTTAAGTGCTAGGGTTGAACCAAGACCTTACGTATACTAGATAATCAATCACTCTACCACTGAGCTGTACCTTCAGTTTCCTAAATAGCAGTCTTTTATACATGATGCTCAGGATGGAACCAAGGCCTTGAATAAGCAAGGCAATCGCTGTGACACTGCACTGCAGTCTTAACCCCCTTAGTTAAGACACTGAGTGAATTTCTTTGTTTACTCATTTAAACCAATCTACTTGGATTCATTCCCAGACCTGTTTTTATGCATTTGCCATTCTCTCATTTACTCCTTCAGATTTTCCATTTATCTGTTCATTTATACTTACTTAGGTTTTCTTATTTTCCTTTCTACATTTGGGTGTGGTGTGATGTGCCTGTGGATGTATGTTATTTTTGCATGAGTTGGGGTGAGTATGTGTGAGGTGGCCCAAGGGGGATATTGGGAATAATTTTCTACATCTTTTCCACCTTATTCATTAAGGAAGGATTTCTCAGTCAAACCCAGAGCTCATCATGCTAGCCAAATTGCTCTAAGGGATCCCCTGACTTCAGCTTTTGAGGCTGGAAGTCCAGGCACTTGCTTCGGTGCCTGCCCAGCATCGGATGGGCTTTGGAGGTTTCAAACCCTGGTCCCCATGTTTACATGATAAGTGTTTTAACCACTGAGCCATATCCCTAGACCTTTTCTCAAAATCCTTTCACTCCTTCACTAGATAATTCATCTAGCAGGTGTTTCCCCAGTCTTGAAACACAGAGATGTGCTGAATTCCTACTTTATCTTGAAGAGGTTTGTAGAATCTAGGAGGAGACAGATGTAGAGCGCAGATATGTAACACAAAGCAGAAGGTGCTGTGGTGAAATTCAGCAGCAGGGGATGGATGCCTGTGCAGTGGATGCTGGCTGGGAAGAGGAGGAGTGAGACATGCAGCTGGGCGTGAAAGCTGAGGAAGAACCCAACCGTACAGGAAGAGGACCGAGGGACATCAAAAACAAGGAAGAAAACAGGCAAAGCCCGAGAGACCCCGAGTGTTTGTACAATGAGTATTCTAGCTTCACTTTGGTTGCTGGGATAAAATTCTGACATAAAGCAGCAAAGGGGTTATTTATAGCCTCACGTTTCCATTGTTGTAGAGAAGACAAGACAGGAATTTAAAACATCACATCACAGTCTAGAGAGAATCAATGCATGAATCCCTGATTGCTTGCTTGTTTGCTTGCTTTGTCTCAGCTAGCTTCCCTTACTCCTATACAGTCCAGGGTCAAGCCCATTAAATGGAGCTGACCATAATTAAGGGCAATTAAAACAGTCTCCCAAGGACATGCCCACAGGCCAACCTGATCTAGATAATTCCTTATTGAACCTTTCTTTTCAGTTGATTTTAGGTTGTGTCAAGTTGACAGATCAAACGAATTAGCACAAAGAACAATTTATGGAAGTTTAGAAGACAAGAGATAGGGTGTCTTAGGGTTTCTTTTGCAGGGAAGAGACATCCTGACCATGGCAACTCTTAAAAGGAAAACATTTAATTAGGGCTGGCTTACAGTTCAGTGGAATAGTTCATTTTCATTATGGCAGGAAGTGTGGTGGCATGCAAGTTGACATGGTGCTGGAGAAGGAGCTGAGAGTTCTGCACCTGTACTAGCAGGCAGCAGGAAGAGAGAAACACACTAGGCCTGGATTGAGCATCTGAAACCTCAAAGCCCACCCCCAGTGATACACTTCCTCCAACAAGACCGCATATAATAGTACCACTCCCTATGAGCCTATGGGGTTTCTTTCAAACCACCACACTTTGCAATGCCTAAGGAAAGGATTCTGAAGGAAAAAGTCATTTGGAGTTGAGTTGGAAGGGCCTTGAATGAGGAAATGAGCTAAAGATCCCAGCAGCTGCATGTTATGGTGTTGTAGGAACTTTCTTGATGATCAGATGAGCTGTGGGGTGACCGGAGGGAGGTGGGTACATTCATAGACTCTGATTGTGTTTATTAGCTTTGTGTTGCTATGGAAAAATGTGCACGAAAACCAACTTAAATGAGGACAGGTTTATTTTTTGCCTCACAGCTTTGCAGGTTTTAGTAGACGGTTGGCTGGCTCCATTGCTTCTGGGCCATGATGGTGAATGGATACAGCCAATGAAGCTGCCAATTTCACTGCATTAGGAAAAAGATAGGGAGAGAGCAAGGGATTGGGGAGAAAGCATATCCTTCAAGGGTACACCCCCTAGTGACCTACTTTCTTCAACTAGGCCCTTCCTACAGTTTACTCCCAATAGCTCATTCAGCTATGAATCCATCAAGGGATAATTCATAGCAGAGGTTACACAGGCCCCATCTCAGAACACTGACCTACTTAGGGCGAAGCCTTCAACATGTGAGCCTTGGGGGGCAGTGTTTTGGAAGCAAGCCCTAGCACCAGTGCTATTTAAAAACTATTTTATTTTATTTATGTGTGTGGATGTGTGAGCAGATGTGCAGATGTGTCTGTGGGTGCCCACAGAGATCAAAGAGTGGCACCATAGCCCTTGGAGCTGGAGTTAGAGGTGTTTTTGAGCTGTCCAATATGGATGGTGGTATCCAAAATCAGGTTTTCATCATCAAACAGCAAGTACCCATAACCACAGGGTCATTTTCCCAATGTCTCAGTGCTGGCTTTGATGCTTGGGAAGGGTTGGTGTGGAGTTGAGGTTGCATGGTAGGACACTCCAGACCTATGAGGAAGGTCACCCTAATAAATATGTGCCTTGTCCAGGTATGCACCAGTGGGCATCCTGTTCCTGATTGCTGGGAAGATTCTGGAAATGGAAGACATGGCGGTCCTTGGAGGTCAGCTGGGCATGTATACCCTGACCGTCATCGTTGGCTTATTCCTCCATGCTGGTGGCGTGTTGCCCCTCATCTACTTCCTCGTCACCCATCGGAACCCCTTCCCATTCATTGGGGGCATGCTACAGGCCCTCATCACGGCCATGGGTACCTCTTCCAGGTATGGCCTTTCCCCGAACTCTCCCTGGGTCCATTCTTCATCCGTCATGGGTTCCATTAGGTAGCCTCCTCTCCACCTCCCAAACACCTCTTCTGGTAGTACAATAGTATTAGGGGACTCTTGAGGCTCTCTGTAGGTGGCCTATACTTGGGGATATGGCCTTTGTCCTCAGATGACACTCCTAACCTTCTCTTTTGTTTCTCCAGTTTATAAGGAGAACCAGATGCCAATTCTGAGTTTAAGATAGTACTGCGGGAGTACCACAAGATCAGAGAATCTTGGCTTCTTAGGCTTTCTTTTCCTATTTGTGCTTTTAGGGGGTTAATAAAGTGATCTCCCTTATATTTCATCATCCAAATTCAAATCAGTTTGAGAAAGTATTCCAAGAGCCAAACAGGAGAAAATATTTTTATTGTTCTCATGGTGATTGGAGAATGTGCCTTTTGATTTTTGATTTGTGGCTAAATAGGACTGATACTACTGTACCCAGAATTAAACTAATCTGATCACTATGGAGCTAGTCAGTTCCCCTTCCCACTCCACCCAGTGCTATTTCTGATGCTTGATGCTTGGGAAAGGCTGAAGTAGAGTTGGGTTCTTCATAGTAGGCAATGTCTAGGTCCAAGCTCTAAGTCTCATGGCACAAAGCTGGCCACACAGGGTCAGTTCTTGCAGACAAAGTGATCCCAGATGAGATGCCTACTCTTTCACTGAAGTTGCCACTTAATTGAAAGCACACTCTGTGAAGTGGCTGGGGAGAGACCTAGGGCTCTTGTAGATGGATGGGGTTGTTCCTTGTGCATATAAGCACTCTGTTTTTACTGTTCTAGTTTCATTTCTGTTGCTGTGGTAAAATACCCCAGTAAAGGCAAATTTGGGAAGATTTATTTGGCTTATAATTCCAGGTTACAGCCCACTACTGTGGGGAAATCAAAACAGGCAGCTAGTCACATCACACCGAGGCACAGAGAATAAATGCATGCTTGCTGCTTGCTTGCTTATGCTTAACTCAGTTTCTTCACTTTTAAATAGTTTAGGACCTCCTGCCTAGGGAGTAGTACCACCCACAGTGGGCTGGGCCTTCTTATATCAATTAGTTAAGACAATCCCCAAATTTAATTCTAAGAGCTGGTTGGTGGTGGCACGTGCCTTTAATCCCAGCACTTGGGAGGCAGAGTCAGGTGGATCTCTGTGAGTTGGAGGCCAGCCTGGTTTACAGAGTGAGTTCCAGGACAGCCAAGGCTGCACAGAGAAACCCATCTCAAAAAAAAAAAAGAAAAAAGGAAATTCCCATAGGATGATCAAATATAGTAAGCCATCATCAAGACTCTCTTCCCAGGTAGTCCCTGATTGGAGTTGACAGTTAAAGTTACCCATCATGTTTAGGCTTTGGTGTGGAAGGTTAGCTGCTTGGGCTGGCCTGGCATAAACTCTTGATATGGATGGGTCAAGAGACAAGATGTTGGGGGATTCCTACCACTGAGTTCTCTCTGCATCAGGAGTCCCACTTCCCCACACACAATTGTCATCCCACTTTCTACTCCTTGCTCAAATTCCAACCAGGTCTCCATGTGCTCGAGGGAAGCCCTTCTTTGGTCCATTGCTGCCACTGCCCTGTCCCATCCTTCAACTCCCTATTCTCAGCCTCCTGAGCTCTCTTCCCCCAGCTCTGCAACCCTGCCTATCACTTTCCGCTGCCTGGAGGAGGGCCTGGGCGTGGACCGACGCATCACCAGGTTCGTGCTGCCTGTGGGGGCTACTGTCAACATGGATGGTACTGCACTCTACGAGGCCTTGGCAGCCATCTTTATTGCTCAAGTCAACAACTATGAGCTCAACCTGGGCCAGATCACCACAATCAGGTGAGACCATGATGTCATCAGCTGGATAGGATAGGCTGTGTATACAAGGCCTACAGACAAATTTCTTGTTTATAGTTACATCTCATTTCTACCTAAGATATATAATTATGTATATGCAAATACCCAGAATCTGAAGAAAAAAAGCAACCTATGAAACATCTATGGTTTCCAGTATTTTGGATGAAGGATATAGGGATGCTCAGTAGCATTTGTCTCCATGGGTGATTTTTCTCACCCATGTTGCTTATTGTCTGCCTGTTATACAAGAAAGAAAATGTAAACTGAAGGAAAGTATTTTCTTCATTGGAAATTTCTACTGTAGATTTATCCTGACTTAAGATGGTTTGACTTATGATCTTTGTTTCCCTCCCTCTACCCCCTCTTTCTGAGATGGCTGGCCTAGTTGAGTAGCTGAGATTGTAGCATGTGCTGCCATGCCTAGTAAGGGCATGAGTGTGATACGTGTCCAGCAGAAACTACACTTAGCATTTCTTCTAGTTCTCGTATATGTATGTGTGCCTGCCAAGTCTGTGTTCGATACATGTGTGAAGGTGCTCTCTAAGGTCAGAAGAAGGCTTCAAGTTCCGTGGACATGGACATGGGTTCTAGGAATAGAACTTGGGTCTTCTGCAAGATCAGTAAGTGCTGTTAACTGCTGAACCATCTCTCCAGCTCATCTCTCCTTGGTTTTAAAGAGTTTAAAATTACATTAATTATTTGTGTGTGTGTGTGTGTGTGTGTGTGTGTGTGTGTGTGTGTGTGCCGCAATGCACATGTGAAGGTCAGAGGACCACCCACAGGATTCAGTTTTCCTCTTCTGTTCTGTGGGTCCTGGTGAGTGAACTCAGGCTGTCAGCCCTGGCAGCACAGCATCGTCACCCACTGAGCCATCTCTCAGGTCCCTGTGCTTCATTTTTGATTGGAGTCTTTTCCCAGGCTAGTGATGTGGTGGTGGTTTGTTTTAATTGTCCACTTGGCAGAATCTGGAATCACCTGATCAGAGAATCCCAGTAAGGGTTGGTATAGATCAGCTTGGCCTTTGGGCATGTCTGTGGGAGACCAATTTGATTATTTGAATTAATGCAGGGAGGCTTAGTTTAAAAGTTGGAAGTACTTGTTTCCTCGGTATGGGTCCTGAGTTTAAAAATAGAGACAGAGCTGACCTGTTGGCATGCACACTTTCTTTCTGTGCTCTCCACTGTGGATGTGTTGTGGCTTACTGTTTCAAGTTCTGCCTTGACTTCTCTACAACGATGGACTGTAATCTGGAAGTGTGAGCTGAAATAAAACTCTCCTGATTTACACATGCGCGCGTGCGCGCGCGCGCACACACACACACACACACACACACACACACACACACACACACGTGTGTGTGTACACTGTCCTTGGCTGTTTGCTGCTCACAATGAGAAGATAGGCATATATCTGTCATTCTCCTGATGAGGCAGGAGAGGCTCTGAGCTCATGTGCAAGGTATAAGGCTCATGAATGGAGTCCTCTCTCATTCTTTGATGCCAGTCTGAGCATTTGCTCAACCACCATTCTCACAGAGCTGTCCTCTGGGCTAATCATCTCCCCTTGTTCTATGTATATGGCTATAGACTCTAGAAAGGGTTCCTAAACTACTGGGGGGAGAGCTGGTATCTGGAAGGCACTACTGCCCTTTCTGGGAAGCTTAGTGGCCTTTGCAATGCATACTACATCTTTCTGGACATTTGGAGTTGATGTTGGAGTTTTGACATAGGCCACCTGTGACCTATTGGCCCCTACCTTCAATTTCATATTAACTTGTGGACTAGAAGTGGAAACAAGACTTTGTACATGCTAGACAGGTGCTCTACCACTGAGGTAGACCGTTCCCTCTTTAATTTTTTAAAAAAAGATTATCTGACCAAGAAATGGTCTCTAGTGGGCTGGAGAGACAGCTCAGTGGTTAAGAGCACTTGCTGCTCTTGTAGAGGTTTGGGTTCAGCTCCCACTACCTACATAGTGGCTTACAACAGTTTATCACCCCAGGTCTAGGGGACCCAATTCTCTTTTGTGGACTCCATGGCCACCAGGCACATATGCAGTGTACAACATGCACACAGGAAAACATTCATACATATAAAATTAAGAAAACAGACAACTTTAAAAAAAATCAAGAAAGAAATAGGCTCTAAAACCAAGGTGGGCCAGAATGCCTTCACACGCAATGTGGTAAGTTGTATTTGCCCTCTTAAAAAATAACTCTGTCTTTTTCCAGCCACATCTTTCTTGAATGATAGCTGACAAAAGTTGCATATTTTATGGTGTATTTCATGATTATTTGCTATATGTGCACTCTGCAAAATGATGGCCACAGCCAGGCTGATTTTTATATTTATCTCCTAAAGTTCCCTTCCCTCCATTCTCCCTCCTGTTGCCTGTGTCTTGTCTCCTTTCCGCTTCCCTCTCATTTTCTCATCTCCTCTCTTATTTGTCACTCTGTCCCTCCTGTCCTCCTGTCCCTTCCCACCTCCTCTTCTGATCCCTATGTTCTCCCATCCCCTCCCTTCTTTTCCTCTCCCTCCTTCCTCCCTCTGTAGTCTCTCCCCCTTCTCTTTTCCTTCCCCCCTCCCTGCCTGTCCTTCTGTTCTCCTCTCCCTCCCTCCTTCTCTTTCTCTTTGTTGATGGTGAGAACAGACTAGAAACACAGTATGATAGTCACACCCTTGACTGCACATTAGATTCCCAGAACCCAGTCATGTGGGGTCTAGACATCTTGGATGCTTGGACAGATCTGTCTCTCAGCCCTTCTGCCCAGCATCATCATGGTTTCTGCTTATTGCATCTGTGACTTCAACTTTTTAATTTAATTCATTAATTAATTTATTTAATGAATTAAATTATTTATTTTATTTAATTTCACAGCCAAAGCAAGCTCATGCAGTATTTTACTTTCTGTGTTGGAATTTACTTAAGACGCCCTTTCCTGCCTGATCCTCCAATCTTCTGTTCTCTCTTTCTGTCTGGATCCCCAACTCTTCCCATTTGTAGCATCACAGCCACAGCTGCCAGTGTAGGAGCAGCTGGCATCCCCCAGGCAGGACTGGTCACCATGGTGATTGTGCTCACATCCGTCGGCCTGCCCACAGAGGACATCACGCTGATCATAGCTGTGGATTGGTTCCTGTAAGTGTGCTTTGGACCTGGGCCTATTTCTTCTCATAACCTTTTCCTGAAGGATTCCGCAAGGAGAGAGTTGTAGGGTGTTGGGGGCAAGGGAGGCATTGGGATGCTCTGCTAGTGATTACCCTGGACTCCAAGCCCATAGATATTTCATCTTTGGGATGTGGAGTGAGGATTCCAAAAAGGAGGTCTCCATCCATTGGCCAGCTCACTCCTCTAGTCCATTTCAGACAGAATCATGCAAAGGTTTTCAAGTATATATATTTTTAAGCTCAACATTTTAAAAGATTTTTCCTTAGTGACAGTGTTAATTCTAAAGAATTTTTGAAGAATTCTAAAGAATTTGCTGCATTAAATAGTGAAGAATTGGCTTATAAAATCACCTGTGATGATGGGCAAAAGAATTTTGGTGGATTTATAAGCTAAGTGCTTAGGCACATTTTCTCTGTCTTCTCTCCTTCCTCTTGTTGTTCTTTGACAGCTCCACACATGCATGCAATGCTTCCCGGTCACTCCCCCCACTCTCTCTTAACTCCTTCCCACCCCATCAGCCTTCCTCCCTGCAACCCCCCCTTCATGTTCTTTGTTTGTGACCCACTGAGTTACAGCAGAGATGTTTGTGTGTCTTCGTGTTGGACTATGCCATGGAGCTCAGCAGGCTCCTGACAGGGTGTGTACCTGAAAACAAGGAGTCCTAATCCATCAGTTCATCAGGGATGAGCCACTCCCTAATCCCCATGCTTCCCCCTCCTTTCTTGCTCTCTCTTTCCCTCTCTTCCTTTCTTTCCTTCCTTCCCATTCCTTCTGCCCTTCTCTTCCGTTCTCCCTCCTTTTCTCCTTCCTTCCCTCCCTCCCTCCCTCCCTCCCTCCCTTCCTTCCTTCCTTCCTTCCTTCCTTCCTTCCTTCCTTCCTTCCTTCCCCTTTTTCCATCCTGCATCACTACCTCCTTTCACTGTCCCCTCCCTTTCTCATTTCATTTTTTTATAACATGCAAGTTACATAAACTGTTGCTTTTCATCCACACATGGGAGATGTGAGCAAGACTAAGTCCCATTTGTACAGAAGGACTAAAGTTCCATTTGAACAAGTCCCCAGCCTGCCCTACACCTACATAGACTCATGTCAAACAGTCTATATCAAACATTCATGTCTCATAGTCTGCACTAGACACTTGTGCCTAACTGTCTGTATCAGATGCTCATGTATAACCGTCTGCATCAGACCCCAACATCCAATAGTCTATATCAAATCCTAATGTCTAACTGTCTGCATCAGACTCCCATATCTAATCTTCTCCAAGTCCATGTATTTAGAAACAAGAGTCATAAATCAAAGACTAGATCTGGGAATTTCAGGGATGATGATGTTAGGAAAGAAAACAGAGGAAAAGTGGGGCCTATTCAAGGTCATGTGGTTGTGAATTGGCTTGGAAGCCCTCCTAGTCTGCCCTTGGTTCTCAAAGGAGCTTTCAGCCCCCCCCCATTAATCTATCTATCCTTCACCAGTGACCGGCTTCGTACGATGACTAATGTACTTGGAGACTCAATTGGAGCGGCTGTCATTGAGCATTTGTCCCAACGGGAGCTGGAGCTGCAGGAGGCTGAGCTGACCCTTCCCAGCCTGGGGAAGCCTTATAAGTCACTCATGGCACAAGAAAAGGGGGCATCAAGGGGTCGGGGAGGTAATGAGAGCGTCATGTGAGATGCTTCCAGCTCTCTGCCCAGGGAGGAGGGAAGGGACTGGGAGGGGAGTCCTGGGGACAATTTGTTGCCCAACTGACTGTGGGTTGAAATACATGTTTTGTGTGGCTTCTCTGGGAGCTGGTGGGATAAAAGAAAAGGAATGAAAGGTTTCCAAGGTATATGCATCACTGTTGCATTTGTGTGCTCCACATACAAGAACAACCTAAGGGAGGGAAGGGTTATTTTGGCCATGGTTATAAAGGGCTTAGTTCACCATAGCGGGAAGGCATGGTAGAGAAGAGCAGCTCACTTCATGGTGATCAATAAGCAGAGACATGAGAAATGGGAAGTAACCAGGGCAGGACACAGCTCTCCAAGACACACCCTACCTGCAACTACTTCTTCAATGATACTCCTACTTTTCACCACTTTCCAATACAGCCATCATATTATGGAACCATCAAGGGACTGGTCTGTTCATTTGGTCAGAGACCTCATGATGTAATCATCCCTGACAATGCCCTCACTGACACACAGACGTGTGCTTTATGAATTTTCTAGGCACTTGTTTCAGTCCTGTCAAACTGAAAAGGACATTTCATCATCACAAAGGTCTCTGTTCATCTCTGAGTGTATGATGAGAACTTGAAGGATGGGTGTGAGGAAAAAGGGGAAGGGGACACTTAGAACTGGGGGAGGGAAATCTTCAAATTCAACAAGAAAGATCAATTCATATTCTTTATGTTCTTAAGGAGTGGTGGAGTTGACAAGGGTTAAAAAATACCTATTATTTCTTGTGATAAAGTGATTTGTGGCTTTTGTGTTGAGGTCATTAAGACCACCTTCAGATTTAATGATTCATTAATAAGACTTAACAAACTCCAAAAAAGGCATTCTCCTCTCAGATTTGACTTATTATGGATAAGGCCACCAATTAAAATCAACAAAGGCACAACTCATCAGGGCTGGGTTGGGCTAAACCAGATAGATGTGTTTCCAGTCCCTTTCTATCGAAGTCATGAAAACCAAAGACTTCTTCTCACAGCAATATGTGGCAGCATGCACAGTGCACTGATGTCTTAGCTCCATTTTCTTTTGTGACAAAATGCCCAGGCAAAAGCAACTTGAGGGTAAAGGGTTTATTTGGTTACATTCCACAGTTGCAAGGAAGTCAAGGTGGCCGGAAGTTGAAGCAGTTAACACATCCACAGACAAGAGCAGAGAGAATGAATGCCCCTCACTTGTGCTCAGCCTGCTCCTTTCATTTTGTCAAGTTTAAGATCCAGCCCATAGAACTGTGTGGTCCACATTCAGGGTAGATCTTCTTATCTCAAATAACTCAATGAAAATCACTCACATGCCCACAGGAAGACCCTATCTCCACAATTTCTCATTGAGATTTCCTTCCAGGCAATTCTAACCTATCAAGTTGACAACTAAGACTGAAAACTATTAAGAAGCTCACCTGAACCCTGAGGTCATGTCACATAGGCATGAAACACACACTGACTTAGCATTTTTTCAGTCTCTGAAATGAACAGTCCAGTGCACGATGGTCCAGGGCACCAAGTGCATACCAGAAGGCATAACCCTCACGGTCAGCATATACATTGTTTTCTCTGACACTTTTATCAGGAAGATTATGCCAAAGATCAAAGGTGTTCTAGTTTCACTTCTGTTGCTGTGGTAAATCACTTTGACTAAAAGCAACTTGGGAGGGAAAGTTTAATTGATGTAAAATTCCAGGTTACGGAGTGAAGTCAAGGCAGGAACTTGAAGGCAGGCCTGCTTCTATTCTCCAACCAAGGAGCTCAGTTTGCAGCCAAAGGAGTAGAGAAGAAACCATGGAAGTTTCTGCTTGCTGGCAGCAGATGTGTACTCAACTGGTTTCTTACATAGTTCTGGATCAACTATTGAGAGATGGTATTGTTCACAGTGGACTGAGCCCTCCTACATCAGTTAATAACGCATCTGTCTTAGTCAATGTTCTATTTCTGGAAAGAGACCCAATAATCATGGCAACTCTTATAAAGCAAAGCATGTAGCTGGGGCTTGCTTACAGTTTTAAAGGTTTAGTCTGCTTTCATCATAGCTGTGAGCATGGTGGCATGCAGGCAGACATGGTATTGGAGAAGGAGCCGAGAGCTCTACGTCTAGATCTGCAGGCAACAGGAAGAGAAAGTGACACTGGGCCTGGTTTGGGTCTTGAAACCTCAAAGTTCACCCCCAGTGACACACTTCCTCCCGAAGGCCATACTTCTTAATCCTTTCAAAAAGTGCTACTCCCTGGTGACCAGTATTCAAATCTGTGAACCTGTGGGAGCCATTCTTATTAAAACTACCACAACTCCCTCCTCCCAAATTCCAGCCAGCCAAGCTGATCTGGGCAATCCTTGAGTTGGAATTCCCTTAGGTGAGTCTAGGCTGTGTCAAGTTAACAGTTTAAACCAAGTAGAATGGAGGTCATAGCTCAAGAGATAAGTAAAGGCCAGCCCTCTATTTGGGTTTACAGGTTTTGAGCACCCTTTGCCCACTAAATTAACCTCTTTAATGTACACCAAGTTGGAAAGAAAGGAATTTCCCATAAGACAGGTTTTCGGATATAATATCACCAACCATTGACTCACAAGACTGCACTTATAACTCTATGCTGCCTCAGTGGATTCTGTATTTCTTTACAATCAGAGAAGGACATTGAATTATTTTCCTGCACTTTGGTGAACCTGGAGGGACACCAAAGACTTAATGAAAACACAAAGAAACAGTGAAATAGTTTGTTTCCTGTTACTATAACAATAATAAAGACTAGATAATTTATAAAGTAAGCAAGTCTGTATAAACTACTGAAAGTGGAAGCCAGAGGGGAGGGAGGGTGTGCACAAGGAAGACGGGTCACCCGAGAAAGCTAATGAGAGACATGTCCACAAGGAAGAAGGGTCACCCGAGGAAGCCCAAAATTAACTTTTGAAAAGTTAGGTGAAACCTAACTTGAATATTGTTTTCCAATAGGGGAAAGAAATCCAAGTACAGATATTCTCTTTAATGCTTTATATTCCTAAATTTAATCCTTTTAAAAAGATTTATTTTTTATTTTATGTGCGAGAGTGTTTTTCCAGTACACCATATGTGTGTAGTGCCCATGGAAGCCAGAAGAGGGTTCCAGATACTCTGGAACTGGAGCTACAGATGGTTGTTAGCTGCCTTGTGGGTGCTGGGACATGAACCCGAGTCCTCTGGAAGAGCACACAGTGCCATTAAATTTTGAGCCATTTCTTCAGCTACTGTTTTTTTAAGATTAAAAAAGTTCATTCTTCAAGAATTTTGTACATGTATTCAACATATTTTGAACATAACAACTCTCTATTTCCCTTCCAACCTATCCCAGAACCACCCTGGCCAAACCCCCTTCTCAACCTTATGTCCTCTTTTCATATCCCACTCAGTCCAATCAATGCTATCCTTGGGTACACTGATATAGGGCCTTCCACTGGATCATAGACAACCTACCAGGTGCCAATTTCCTGAAAAACCCTGACTTCTCATGTCAGCAGCCTTCACAAATGCTAAGGCTTTTCAGCTAGATATAAGACCATAAGCCTCTCTACCATATATGCTAAAATTTTGACTGGATTGATCTTATACAGGTATTGTGTAAGCAACCATAGTCACTATGAATTCATGAGTATATCGGTCCTCTCATGTCCAGAGAACACAGGGGGGCATATTGGCATCCTAACAATGACCACTTCTGTGGTAATAACTAACTATTCCAACCCCAGTGGCACTTTCCCAGACATTCTTCACATCTGCTTGCTGGCTATTGAAGCTTTTCTACCCCCTTTCATGATGTGCTCCAAGTCAAGTGGAGAGGGGGCATGGAATCATCGTCTTACTTAGGACTGAGTAACCCTCAGTGTATATTTGTTTTGATACATCCTCACATTATTCTTTAAGCAGCTGAGATAAGCCTGAAGTAGAAGCAATTGGGAAATATAGGGGGAAGGCTTCAGATCTAATGCAACCTATTTGCAACTGAGGCATTTATAGATTTTTTAGAAGTGGTCCTTGCAAAGGCAAGAGGCATTGTTAATAAAACTGACTCCAAGCCAGATGTGGTGGTGCATTTCTTTAATTCTAGCACTTGGAAGACAGAGTCAGGTGGATCTGAGTCCAAAGCTAGTCTTGTCTATAGAGCATGTTCTAAGACAGCCAGGTCTTCAAAGAGAAACCCTGCCTCTAAAACAAGACAGAATAAAACAAAACAAAACCAACCAACCAACCCCAACCAAAACCAACCAACCATCCAAACAAACAAAGGGCTCCACATTGGATCCTTAGGTTTTCAGCTCGATTTCAACCTTTAGATCTGCTCCATCCTGTCTTGTGTTCAAAGGTCTCTATCCTAACTACTTTGTGTGAAAGGGGTATGACAAGCCAAGAGGTAAAAGCATCCCCCACCCCCACACCGCTCTACTGTTGGAGCCTCCTTTCTCCTGCCCCAGTTTCTTCATGAATTTGTACCCCAAAAGTTGGGCGCCAGATGTTGCACAAATTCTCTTTGGTCTCAATAATACAAAATTTTGAGGCAGCTATCTGGGGGTGAAAGCTGAAAGATCAGAGAAGCAAAGTGACCAGTCACTAGATAGTTCTTACCTCTACCAATTATCAGATCAAAGGGGCCCCCCTGTCCTCAGACTGACTGCCTCAGACTGGTTCCTCAGACTCCATCCTCAGACTGACTGCCTCAGACTGCACTGCTCCTCAGTTTACTGCTTCAGACTGCGTAGACTGCCATGAGCTCCTGTCTTCTCCCACCTTATATTCCTTTCTCTGCCAGCCATATCCCTTCCTGTCTCTATCTCCTTAGTGCTGGTATTAAAGGCATGTCATTCCAAATGCTGGGATCACCTTTGTGTTGAGCACTATTTGTCCTTTAGACTGGATCAATTTCTTATAGCCTAGGGTGGCCTTGAACTAACAGAGATCCATCTTCCTCTGTTTCTCGAGTGCTGCAATTAA